ACAGACAAACAGACAGTAAAACAGATAGTTACACAAATTTTTTAATAGACAGAGAGATAGTCAGACAAATTGTCGGATGGACAATTAGACGGATGGCTAGATAGATTATTGGATAGACAATTAGATAGTTAGCTAGATAAATATAGAGACAAATAGACAGACAAATGGACGGACGGACGACAGGACAGACGAACAAACGGACAGACAGATAGATAGGCAGACAGAAAGACAGACAAACGGACGGACAGACAGACAGACAGACAGACAAACGGACAAATAATAGCTTATCGGATAAATAGACAGTCCATAAAGGACAGATAAATTATTGGACAGACAGTCAGTTGGACAGACAGAAAGATTATCAAATAAATAGTCAGACAATCAGACAATCAGACATGTAGATAAACAGTCAGATAGGAAGACTGGCAGATAGAAAGTCAAATAAATTGTTATATAGATAACTAGATAAATAAATAGATAGATAAAGAGAGAGAGAGAGAGAGAGAGAGAGAGAGAGAGAGAGAGAAATATATTTAATTAAAAAACAATCAGACAATTTGGATAGATAGAAAGTTGGATCTTCGATAAAGCAGTTGAGCAATTAGTCAGATAGAAAGTCAGATAGTCAACAAGAAAGATTGATAGACGGAAAGTTAGATAAATAGTCAGATAAATAGTTGAATAAACAGTTATGTAAGCACCTAGTCAGACAGAAAATCAGAAAAATAGTCACATAGAAAGAAATTGATAGATGAAAAATTATATAGTCAAACAGTCTGACAGACAGTCAGAAGGTAAGAAAGAAAGAAAGACAGACAGACAGATTGACAGATAGAAAGTTAGAATGACAGAAAGTCAGATAAATGTACAGGTAGATAGAAGGTCAGATAATCAGACAAACAGACAGACAGAAAGTTAGAAAAACAGACAGACAGGCAGACAGATACAAAATCAGAAAAACAGACAGACAGAAAGTCAGAAAAACAGACAGATTGACACAAAGACAGAAAACCAGACAGACAGACAGAAAGTCAGAGAAACAGACAGATAGACACAAAGTCAGAAAACCAGACAGACAGACAGAAAGTCAGAGAAACAGACAAACAGACAGAAAGTCAGAAAGACAGACAGACAGACAGAAAGTCAAAATGATAGGCAGATAGATAGACAGATAGAAAACCAGAAAAACAGACAGATAGACAGACAGAGAGACGGATAGAGATAGATGAATAAAAAGAAATAGATATATAGATAGATAGATAAATAGAGAAAGAGAGAGAGAGAGAGAGAGAGAGAGAGAGAGAGAGAGAGAGAGAGAGAGAGAATAAAGCTAAAGTACAAAACATTCCGTAATTTATTAAACGAGTTCGAGAAAGCATTTCGATATCGTTTCTTCTTTTCGTGTTATAAATACCGTGTTAGAGAGCAACCGCTATATTTAGACGCAATAAGGAGATAACTGTTCTTAGAGTATACGCGCTCGGACTTACGTATGTAGAAATTCCTACGAACGGAGATACAGAAACGAAATTTTTAATATATACCAATCGTCTCTTATCATCAAATATGTGAGAGTAAATATAGTTTTTTTGTTTCTTTCTGTTTAACTTTATTGGTCATCTTTTTTCTTTTTTCTTTTTTTTTTTTTAATTAATGGTAAGCATACAACTATTTTGTTAAATAAATGATCCACTCGTGTATATATATATATATATATATATATATATATATATATATATATATATATATATACTAGGATCGGGATTTCTAATAAAATATTATTACGTAATATTATATTAATTGTCAATATTAATAATTTATCTGCATGACGTTTGAGAATTGATTTATTTATGAATATACTCGATTACCGTCCATTTGAAATTTTTCACTATTTACAAGATATATTATACAAAAATTATTATATTTGCAAATATTTAGATACAAAATGCCAACGGATTTTATATTAATAATATTTTTCTTTTTCTTTCTTTCGTTCTTTAACTTATATAACAAATACATACTGAGTGTCGGAAATATTTGTAATTCTCGGAAACAAATATATATATATATATATATATATATATATATATATATATATATTTTCTTTTTCTTTCTTTCTTGCTTTCTTTTTTCCTTCTTCTTTTTTTATTTATTTATTTTTTTTCTTTTTTAATCTATATCATTACAACGATTCACAAGAATTAAAAATAATTCTTGTTATATAAAAATAATCCTAGAAAAGCAAGATCTATTGCATTCTTTCTTAGAAACGGGGAAAAATAAAGAGAGAGAATAAAAAAAAAAAGAAAAAAAAGAAGAAAAAAGAAATAAAGGAAATCATTATCAAATGATTCATTTTTCTATTCTCGATCAGATTTCTATCTAATTGAAATAATTCATAAGAATTGTTAGGATCGTTAGATGAAAAGAAAAATACAAAAAAGCAACAAAAAAAAAGAAAAGAAAAAAATATAAAAAGAAAAGCATTGCATTTCGTCCTCCTCACAGCCTCCTCCTCCCCTCCCTCCTAACCCCACCACTGTTATAATTCGATGACGATCTTGGATTTATTGCGAATCGAGATCGAGAAATGTATGTATGTTTGGCTGATGGATTAAATTTTATTTCTATTCTAGACGACGAAATATACAAACGTTCTTTAGACACGAAGAGAGACAGAGATTGAGAAAGTGTCAATAAATGAAATCAAAAGAGATGTGTAAAATTTGAAATGCAAATGAATTCGAAATATAAAACATTTTATTATCACAATCTATTATTAATGAAGTTATTTATCCTGTTCGACGTTATTTACGTGTATGTATATTTTTTTTTTTTTTATCGCAATTATTATTCAGAACGTTGCGATATTATGTTTTATACAATTATATTAATTATATTAATTAACAACATATATTAAAATAAAAAATAAATAAATTATAAAAAAAAAGAAAAAATGAAATAAATAAATAAATAAACAAGAAATAAAATATATAAAATATTGCATATATATATATATATATGTATAATTAAATATATTATATTATATAGATATAATTAATAAATATACTGTAGGTATAATTATGTTATAGTAATATAAATTAGTACTGTCAAAGTAGTAAAAATTATTATAATAAATTATAATACATATGTCATACTAATTTATATTTTTATATCTATATCTATAAAATATTTACAGATATTACAGATATTACAGATATTATGTATTTATTAATACATAAAATATAAGTATATACTGATA